GAATCAAGGCCCTGAAAAGGCAGCTGAGCCAGTCCAGCTAGAACCCTGGTCTTTTACCCACTCACAGTCTCAGCAGGTAAAACCTTCTCCGGTTTGTCTCCTCTCAACCCTTTTACCAGCTCCCTCACCACAGGCACCTGCTGCCTCTGTCTATGGCAGATTCCTGCCGGTGCCCACGCAGATGTGCGAAAGGTAATCAGGTAAGGGCAAGAAGGCTTGCAAACCACAACTTTGGACAGTTTGCTTGTTTTAGGGTTTGCATGTGCGTGACTGTGATTTTGTCACGTGTGCTCACAATATCACCTTGCTTCCTGCTATATTTTCCCCCGATTCCCAGGACAGAAGTCGCTGTATCAAAGGATCCTGGTGGCCTACCAAGGGCTCCATGGCTTCTGGGGGCACTGTCACTGGAACATCCTTAAGAGCTATTGTTTTGAAAGTGAGAGGTGGGCTTTGGGGTCCATTGTAGCCTTGTCATTTACTGGCTGTGTGATCTTGGATGGGTTTCTTTATCTCTCTGGGCTTCACTGAACTTATATATAAAACAGGAATGACATCATCTACCTTGGAGGGTCCCTGGGAGGGTTAAAGGAGATAACTATAAAATTAGCTGGCACATAGTAGGTGTGTAACAAACATAGCTATATGATCGCATCTTCATGAGGCTGTCCCTTGTATTCTTCTAGGCACCTTTGTGCTAGCCAGGCCCTGTGCTGGATGCCGGAGACACAGAGGTGACTCAGGCCTGGAAACTATGAGGCACATTCTCAAGTTTGGGGGATTATTTCACTGGCAAGAAGCACCTTGAGGGCAGGGATCATGTCTAATTCAGCTACCCCTGCTGCCCCTCGCTCGGGAGCCTGTCAGTACCAGCCGGGACTTTTTGGTGGGCAAACAGTCACAGCTATACTGGCCCAATCTGGTGCTTGGTGACTTCTGGCTGTTCCCCCCAAATAGAACAAAACGCACAAGGAAAGCGATGCGACACCTGAAGCCATCCAATCTGTCACCGCGGCCCACTTGAAGGCAATCTCAAAAGGGGCTTCAGCAAGTGGCAGAGAACAAATGTGCGTGTGTGGGAGGGGGTACTCTGAAGGGGGTCATTGCATGTTGTTAAATGCCATCTGTTTATTCCCGTAGTGGTGGAATTTTCTAGAATAGCACAAAGCGGAGGAGGTGCCCCGGGTAGCCAGAGAGAGGAGTGCTGGGCAGCCTGGTGGACTTCCAGGACGAAGAACCTTCCTCGGTCCAGGCTCAGAATGAACCAGTCCTTTCCACCATGAGGCCCTGGAGGAGCAACCCCAAATAAGCCAGGTCCTGGATCCTGAGAACTGCACTGGGGAGGCCCCATCGCCTGTCCCCTCCACACCCCCGGCCACGCCTCACCGGCGGACCCACCCCTCATTCCAGCCCACCCACAGCTGCCTCCGCAGCCGCCACATGACGGCATCCTGGCCTAAGCCCCCTCTTCAGCAGCCTCTCTGAGGAGCTATTTGCAGAGGCCCCCAGTTGGAGTCCGGGGCTTTGCACACAAGTGTTCGATTTTAAAAAGGGAGAAAGAGAAGTCGCACCAGGTGCCTGCACTGCCATACCGGCCCCGCCCTGCCCTGCGAGCCTGCTGGGGGTCTTTGTGCTGTGTGTCCGCATGCAAACGTCATCGTCGCATCTGCTGTCCCTTGACAAGGGCAATTGAAGCTGCACAATGACGCCATCTGCCAGGGACAGCCAGCTGGCTCAAGGCTGACCCTAGTCGCCGTGGCAACAAAGATGGTGTCACGGGGCCTTCAGAAAATCCAACCAGGCTGATGATGTCAGGAGGTTCCCTGCAGCCCAGCTCACACTTGGGTGGAGGAGGGGCTGGTGGCCAGAGTCGTGGAGGTGCTCGGCCTCTGGGCGACGGAGGACAGGCTCCTCCTTGGGCCTCCTTGGGATGCCCAGCTCTCGGAAGTCCCTCCCCATCGAAGGAGGCTACCTGGCCTTCACAGGACGCGCTACGCCAGGCACCTCTGCTTAGACCCTTTCTCCTTCACTCAGTCTAAAAATGTCTCCTCACCTTCCAGACCCCTCAGGGTTTCCTTCTCAGAACTTTCCAGGCAGAGGGGACTGACTGTGCCCACCTCTCTGTCCCCAACTGCCTGTTGCCCAGCTCCATTGGCACCCCCGTGGGAGGGGACTGCAGCTCCGCGTGCTCACCCGTCTCTTCCAGCAGCCGGGGAGCAGCCCAAGGGCCCAGATTATATCTAATTCATTTCTCCTGTTTCCCAGAGGGGGCCAGGCATGTGGAAAACTCTGGCAAATGTTAAATGAATAAATGAAGTTGCTTCATTTCTCAGCCACATGCCAAGGGTTTCAACCCTCAGAGCCTCAGCTGTCTGGCATTGCGGGAGCAAAGAGGAAGGAGACATGAGGACCCTTCTCAACCCTGCAGCGAGCTGTGCGCAGAGGGGTCTCTGCCACTGTCAAGGCCACAGACCACACCTGCAGAGAAGCACCTATTGTACTTTAGTTTCTGTCTTATTCTGGGTTTGTGGCAGGAGCACTGGACTAAGAGTCAGCGCCAAGACCCACTGGAGGGGCCATCCCATGAGGCCTCGGGTAAAATCAGTTGCTCACACATCCTGACTTTTGGGTCGAATGGTCTGTGCATGTCCCTCCACAGTGGCTGGCCCACTTCACCTGTGCACCTGTTCCCCCGCCCCCTGCACACCCTCCCATGTTTACAGTGAGTGACACGTCTCTCGTATCCACCAGTCGGATGGCACCGAACTGCACTTGCTGTTTGGAGTCTCGCTCCTCCCATTGCTAGTGCACCTGGGCCTCTTTGCCAGCGTGGTCTCTGCATTGAACGGCCGGTCCTCGCCCATTTTTCTTCTTGATGATTTAATCTTTTGTTACTGATTTGTAGGGATTCTTTATATGTAAACTCTCAAGCATATTCCTTCCTTGTGGGTGTGGTAAATACCTTTTCCCTGTCTGTGTCTGGTGGTTTAGCTACGTCCGGTGTCCTTTGCTGAACAGACGTTCAAGTCTTTCATGGAGTCAGAGGACAGAAAAGGCTGTTCTGAGACTCAAGTACACACAGCCTTTTGACAGCCTTTGTATCCACATGAGCAGCAAAGAGCTTCCCTTTCTGGCCCTGGCGGGTAGGGAGAGTTCGGGCTGCTAATCCTATTTTGTGGATTAGGAGGTGAAGGCCTTTTTGCCCCTGAGGGCCTGCTCCTCCCTGTCCCGGTGACTGGCCCAGATTTTCCTCTTGCAGTCTTTGCCCTTGTGGTCGGAGTGGCGCTGGCCCACTGGAGCATTCCGTTCATTCTCCAGGCCACAAGGTAGCAAGGGACCTGAGCCGGGCCAATGTCAGCACAATTCTATCCAGGACTCGAGTAGAATTACTGAGAAAGAGGCATTTCCTACTGGTAAATTCTATTTGAAATGAAGCCGGTGCAGAGGAACTCAGGTTGAAGAAAGGCCTATTATAGACAATATTTATGCCTGGATCCAGCCAGGCCTGAGGCCTACCTGCCCCTTGAACCAGCCCGATGTGGGGGTCTGTTTCTTCTGTAACAGAGTCCTGACTAATACAAATCTAGTCAGAACCAGAAATGAAAGTGCCAGCACTGGACCCCTGACCCTGAATCATTATAAGTGTGAAGAGGTACAGAAGCATAAGGGCCTTCTGGCCTCAGTTCCCCAATCTGTGAGATGCAGATAATCACCCATCTCTTCACCTCAGCTGACTCTGGTACCAAACACCCCGAGGCCTCCTGGCTAAAGCAGGGCACTGTGACTCTGCTGTTATGCCCCCAAGGACATCCTGAATGAGAGGCCAGGAAACAGTATACGCCATAGAAATAATGAGTCTCAAAGAAAATGACATCAGCTTGCAGCTGCCCCGAAAAAACTGGACTGGGTGGAGACAATGGCAAAGAAGAAAAAATAGCGAACAGGCGGGAAGGAAAGAAAGAAAAAGCCTGATAATATCAGCAGCTATGGTTGGAGAACAGACGCGGGGAAAAATGAGTTAAATCTTCACTCTAAAATTGACACAGAAAAGGAAGAATACGCCCGGCTAGGAATAATTTTCATAAAAGTGAAAAGCTGGAGAAAACCATGAAGATCTAACTGAGCCATACAAAGGCCCGCTTAAGAAGTTTAGTGGCATTCCCGGCTGGAAAACATTTCCTCGATGAAATGCCACCGACATCGACTTGCTTCTCATGACATTTCTGAGCATCCTGGGGATCAAAGCCTCCAGGCGCAGCCTGAGCCCCCAGCCCTGAGGGCCCATCCCGTTTCTTC